GAAAGAGAAATATGACCGCGCGTTTATTCATAAGAGATTTAAAGAAAACGAATAATAAAAAAAGAAGAAATAAACGAGGAGCATTATCTTTTTCATAGGTTGAACAGTATTGCAGTGTATTCTGCTGCCGCTTTATATTTTACTATGTCGTATTTACTTTAATGCACAATGACCAGATGCACACAAACGTATGTGTGATATATATAGAGTATATACACAGATGTATATTATTTGTAGCTGGTGAGAATGAAAGTGATTGATAAATTTGAGAAAACTCAGAGTCCGGTGGTTCCGATTAATCTAATATAGCGTAGTCTGATAACAAGCGCGATTCACATCATTCTCATTCTGTTCGATTTATATGTGTTATTGGCAACAGCGGAGATGCGGCCGCGGTTTATGTTTGCTCTGCGGAAACAGAACAATACTTTGCGTTTTGTGGACAGTATTTTTCTCCATTTCCCGAGAATATTCTTCGTAATTGCATTATAGAAAATAGATTGCAAAAGACTGAATATAAGCTGGCGATGGCGAAAATATACACACCGTGAAAATCAGTGTATGCGATCCGTTGCAAATCAATAAAAATGCGCACAATACTTTGGCTATAAAGAAGTCCTCAATATATTGCAAAATAGAAACTAAGGTAGTTATTGCGGACGATGTGTGAAAATGAAAAGCAAACCGCAGCGCAACTACTTTGTTCTACCTATTGATCAAAAGAGAATGTTTGAAAGTTTACTCAGAAATATTGTTCTGTTTCTGCAACTTATTCCAAACATGACAAGCAAAATTGAAAGAATATCCATGACAATTTTATTCATCGGAATCAGTTGTACAAGATACATCAGCTGTACCTTCATGTTTTTACGGAATATTTTAAAAATATTCTTAGAAAGTTATTAGAATATTCTAATTTTCGGAAATAGTTGTACAAGGTACATCAACTGTACTTTCATGTTTTTACGGAATATTTTAGAAATATTCTTAGAAAGTTATTAGAATATTCTAATTTTTGGAAATAATTATTCCGATATTCTCAAAGTAATTAGGGAAAAATCTTTTTGCAGATATTATCTCTCTCATTGCACTTTGCGCTCTGTTTTTGAACATAAATTTCGGACGATTTTCGATGCTCGGCTGTTTCGAATAACATAATAATACCAGCGGGCTTGGCATTTGTCGAGGTATTTATGCGGCATTTGTGCGGCGCATTCCATTTATAAAATGGAACCGCGCTTTGGATTTAAATCACTTATAGGCTGTGAGATGCGAGCTAAGCAGCAGACAAATTTGCTCGAAACCTCAATCATATGTGTCAAATGAAGTATAAATCTACTATTAACCTATATTGTATAACCGATCAATCCTCTCATCAAAATAGAAGGAATACACGACTATTACTTCTCAATTCAAAAACTGCGACGATTTCTTCTGTCCTTGAGACTTGAATAATAAAAAAGATATATATTTATTAATTCCCCTACACGGGAAGAGAAAAAAAAGAAATTTTGATCTATAGAAATAAAAAGATGTTATAAATATACATACAGAGCGGACTTGAAGCGGCGAAAGTGGATGTTGACACGAGAGGTGTACGAATTTGGGATAATTTTTTCTTCAATAGCATTCATTTTTTCATTGCTTTTTTTAAGTACAACACATTTTCCAATTTTTTTAACTTTTCTTTCCATAACTTTAACTTTTTCTTTCACAAATTATCAAACTGCCGAAATTCGCATGATTTGACAATCGTAAATAACACGAGTGAAGCAAATCGCAGCGCACAAGTGAGACAGCCAATCAGCATCACGGAAAAAAGGCTTCAATAGGTTTGTTCGCGTTGCTTGAACTTTTTGCACTCAGTATCTTCGCTTTCGCTTTCTTCAACATCCGAATATATATTTATCTCGTTTTCAGTACAGAACTTTTTGGGAATTTCAAGCAACGCGAACAAACCTAATGCTTCGATATATTCGAGTTCAAGGTTTCACGCCTTTTTTAGAAAGGGACTAGCACGCAGCGCGCGCTTCGTGCGCGCACACATTTCGCAAGATGCCACATTTTTTATACACATTTCGTCCGCACTTTATTTTATCGAAAAAACGCAAAACCGACTAAGTTTTACTCGCCTTTTAATCTTACTGTTTCTTATATTTATGTTAAACAAATAAAAGTTTGTTATATTTTTAACGTTTGTAATAAAAAAACTCATCGATTGTACTTAGTTTCAATCTTAAACAACTGTACTTACTAGAATCGACTGAAATCTTCGGCAAGAAAAATTTAATCTCAAATTCGTCGACATATCTCTGTTATAGACCTCGCCTTTCTTGATCCATGCTAAGTATACTATATATGTATACATGGTGTCTGCTTTCTCTTGACAATAGATACCACAATAGATCAATCACTGATGAAATGTACTTGAGAAACAAATCGAACGTAATTTTGCTGATAAAGATACATGCAATTTTTAAAAGATTATCTGGAATTATATATATCAAGAATATATATGTATAATTACTCTATAATGGCATTACATATATATGATTGTACGTTTCTGATTTGACGTTTATATATTTTGTGTGCGCTTATTTCATTTTTAAGACCATTTAAAGTTTACTTCATAAAATGCAGTTTTCGGCCGCACGTAACTGTCGTTAGGAGGAAGTGTTGCACAAGACACCCTGTACATATACATATGAGATACGAGATAATATATTTGTAGATACAGAGTTTAATCATCATAGTATATAGAGTCAATACTGTGAAGAGCCTGTAACTTACCTACTTATACCCTTAGATAGACTGTAATACTTGTAACTGATTTACGAAAGATGAATTATATGAATGAAAAAAAAAATATATATATATATACTGCGAGAAAATCGATTAAATAAATAAATAAATGATATACCTATATGATCAGAATGTTGCACCGATTTATCATTTTGTCACTCCCGGTAAATATGCATATTAGGTTACACCTCACCGATGACTTTGACCTTGACATATGTTGTTAAGGACATAACCCTGAGTACCCCCTACGAGGGGGCTCCACTTTTGGAAGATATAACCTAACCTAAACCAAACTTTAGTTTTAAATCAGAAATAGGTTTGGGTTAGGTTATATCTTCCGGAAGTGGAGCCCCCCCCGTAGGGGGGGGGCGGAACTCACTGTGTCCACGCATATACTTTCTCATCCATGCAACAATTGTGGGGCGGACTGTCTCTCTGTCTCTATATTGATAGCCGTACACTAGCCTCTGGAGAATCCAGGGAGATCTTGTGGAACATCTTAAGGATTTCTATAGGATATGTTAGGGATATTTTTCATACGTTAAAAGGAACAAATTCTAGAATTTAAATATAAATTAAGATTGCGTTCTGTTATTTACTGCCAATACTAAAAATCTAATACTAAAAATAGTTCACGTTCTTTAATATTTGAGGTTTTCGTGCTGTACATGAATATTTTAGGTTTGGCTTCCGGATTTGAGTTGTGTAATATTTTCAAAACAATCCAATATCTGAATTCCTTATGTTGGGATTGCATCAGAAATTGAACTGATAAAAAATAATTATATTTTTAATTTCCTGTTGTTAGTTGCTTGCAAGCTTTATATAATTCTCATGACCAAATCTCAAATACGAGTTTGCGCGTCGCATAGCGGTGAACAAACGAACTAGCAGCGGAATACTATTTTTTGTAAAGTTTTTGGAATGTTGCGCATAGTAACATCTCTCATGAAATATTAAATAAATAATAATTTTGAATATGTGAAAATGTGCGCATCAAATTCAATTATTAATATTAAACAAAATTAATGTTAACAATTAATTGCACATGCATATGTCCTCTGGAAATCCAAAGGACAGGGCAGATATCCTACAGACATCCAGAGGTTATCCAGGGGACATTTATAGGACATTAATACTTATTACAATACTTAAAATTTCTAAATTATATTAAATAGCCTACATAACCGAAAGTAATCATGTATGCATATTAAATTTTCATAAAATATATTTATAATAATATCTTAAAACATCCTACAAATATCCTGAACCATCCTGGACATATTCAGGATGATCCTGAGGA